CTGTAGCTAGTGCATTGTGCGTTTTTGATATATTAGTGATGTCTATCAAATAAGCTATTTATTTCGAAAAAAGCCACAACTTAGAGGTGTTTTTTTGAAGACATTAAGGCGACTCACAGTAAAAAGAGGAGAAAATGCACCTAACGTGCCTTCAAAATGCACTGTGGAAGCATTTTTAAGCCAGTCGAGTGGTTTATCAAGACACTTTTTTTTGACAGTGTATTGGACTCAGCTCAATTATAAGACTTTCTATTTAATTTCTATTGATTCAATATAGTTTAATATTTAAACTTTATTATTTGTATAACTTGGCGACCGTAAATTCTCTTTTAGTACTACTATCTCGTGTATTTCGCTAATGTCTCGTGTATTTTACTAAAATCTCGTGAATTTCAAATATGTAGCTAAATTTGCTGATATCTCATGTATTCACTAAAATGTCAGCTGTTGGCGAAATAGAAGATTTCTTCTGCTTTTGTCATCAGGCTCAAACCGACAAGAATTGGGTGGAATAAATCACTAGCGTCGCTACTTTGCTCAGACAATTGTTTAATATGTAAGTTAACTACAAGAGAAGATGAAGACAGAGAGAGAGAATTAGCAGCAGATGATTCAGCTTCCTGCATTGTACCATCATTAGTCATTACACCTCGCATTGTTTTCTTTTGAGATAGTGGTACTAATCGAAATATTAAAAATTGCTGAAACAACAATAATGTTTGTTGTATTCGCTGTTTTTGTTCTTCTTTCATATCACTCAATAGATCCAAGCAAATATCGATAAATGATTACGATATTTTATATGATGTTGCTTTATCTGGCTTGTTATCGTCGTCGTCGCACATAACTTCAATCCAGCTTAGTAATGTTAGTTTTTCATTCAGTTCTATAAATAATTGCTTCATTCAGTTCTATAAATAATTGCTCTAAATTAATGCAGGATGTTTATTTTCGACGATATATTTATCGATAAAAGATAATTTTTCGGCGAATGACGATGTCTTTTGGTCGATGATGTAGACAAGAGCTTTCGATGCTTCTTTGCATATTGTTGGCTCGTTCGATTTTTCATCGCCATCACAAGGCAATGCCAATAATAATTCAAACCATTTTCTTAATTCAGCGTCAGTTGCAAATGCCTTTAAATCGATATCACAATTTGATTGAGGGGGTAAAGCACGAACAGATCGTCTTATTTCGTCGTTTGTTTTTAATAAATCTCTTTCAATGTTTGACTTGACAACGCATAAAAATTTCATATGTGTGGTAAATAACCTTAAACAAACGGTTAACATGTGAACATCGACTGTGTTCG